TAGAGTGATTATTCGAAGGTGGAAAAATTTGTGAACTAATCTGACTATTTTGAATGTCACCTCTTCTGCTATTAGTTGCAGAATGTAAGTTGCTTGACCTTGGTGCAGCCTTTGAAAAAATACTTGAGGGTGGGGAACTTGGAGGAGCCAGAAGATCTGTTTTATTTAAATTGAGTTTACTTAAGTTATATCTTATAACCTTCACCTCTGTTTCTGTTCCTATTAACTGGTGTATTATCTCTAAATAGATCTGAAGAAAGATTATCCTTTCTCATACCGCCAATGCTTGTTTTCAGTGCAAAATTTGGTCTCTGATTACTAAGGGGTATAGCATTTTCATTATTCGCTGATTAAAAGAAAAAAAAAAAAAAAATGGTTAACAGCAAATTTTAAAGATGAGAATTATTTTTGAGGAAAAAATGAAATTAAGTTATAAAAAAAAATAAAAAATTACATCTTTCAGGAGAAGAAGTAGGGTATTGCAGTGGACTCGACTTGGTGTTAATCTTTGAATTTACTGTCACTCTAGTCACAGGAGTTCTATTTATTGAATTAGTAGGAGTTCTTGAATTTCTTGAAGTAGGTGTTTTTGAATTTCTTGATGTTATTTTTCCATGAGATGGCTTAGTTGGAGTAGATTGCATATTAAAAAATTAAATATTGAATTAAAGTTTTTGACTAGGGTTTTTGATGAAGCCCTTGTCAATCTTCAAATTTTAACAATTTCCTATCATTTTTTAATGGTTGTAAAATATTATCAAAATATTAATTAATACAAGAAATTTCAAAAAATAAATCTATTTTGAACTAAATGTATAATCAACTATAAACTTTCCAAATTCTAAAGGCTTTCATCGTAAAACCGATAAACACAGTTGATATTACATTTACACAACTTTTAACAATTAAAATTTTGACTCTGAGGTTGTTTTTTGTTAAAAATATATTTTTTTTTTTAAATTTATTGATTACTGTAAATTTTTTCTTTTATTGACTGTTTTATAAGATTTTCTCAATTTATTTATATTTTTTAATTCATTTCCTTTTTTCATAAAAAAAATGAAGGTAAATTTCTTGAACAATTTTAATGAGATATTTTAATGGTAATCCAAATAACAAAAAATTTTTAAATAAATTTGACACAACAATTCCATGTAAATTTTATATTTATTAAACAAATTTGAATTCAATCTAAAATTTAACTGGCATTAAGCTTTTTTGAATACTTTAAAAAAGCTGGCTGCTTCCCCAGACAATTTACTACTTACTTTTTGGGAAGGAGAGGAAGTTGCTGAATTAGTGTTAGTCGAAATTGAAGAATCGAGTAAACTGCTATTATTGCTATTTGTGCTAACGGGTAATAATTCTTCACTTCCATTGTATTCAGCAAAACTTCCATTACTTTTTTCTTTTTCTAAAGCCCTCCATCGTGTCTTTTGTAAATTTTTTTGCTCTGGAGAACTAGTTGCTTTTTGAAAAACTGGATCAGGTAGTAAATATTTTTGAATTAATTCCATAATCTGAGTTTCTTCAATGGAAACAGTGCTTTTTGCTATATTTAAAAAAAAAGAAAAATAAAAAAAAACCAAATTATGAAAATTTTTTTTAAATGAAAATGGCAAACCAAAGTATTCTTTTAATTCATTTTCACTGATGCCAACTCGAAGTCCAACACTATGTGCAGTTTCAGAATCATTATTCAGACAAGTGATATCTGCTCCGTTTCTAATTAAAAATTGTGCAACGGCTTTATGTTTTTGACTAATAGCTTCGTGCAAAAAAGTCCTTTTGAATAATAAATAATATTGTATAAAAAATTTTTAAAGATAATCAATAAACTTTTAAAAAACTTACCAGTTGTTTTCACCCCTTTTGTTGATGTCTATTTTAAAACAGTGGAAAAATGCAATAAGAAAACCTAGATTTCCGTTTCTTGCAGCGACTTGAACTGCGTTTGAACCCCATGGATCGAACGTTGATTCCGGGTTTAACCCGTTTTTTAAAAAAATACAAGTTATTTCTAAAGACTGTTGCGCAAAATAAGGATATGTCAAATGTTGAATGGTTTTAGTATCGTATCTACAAAAAAAAATTTAATTTTCACAAATATATATTATAAATTTTTTTTTCAGCTGCTTCTTACTTTAGAAGAAGTAATTTGCATGCATCAACATGCTTTCCAGCACAAGCTAATTCAACAGGGAATATCTTTTTATTTTTGAAGAAAGTTTCAGGTAAATGTGAATGCGGCATACTGGTACTGGTTAAGGGAGGCGATATTGTGGTTCCATCATCTTTATTTAAACTTTTATCACTATTTTTTACACCTTTTTTGTGAGCTGTTATGGTTTTGGAGCCAAATTGCCTTTTATAACTACTGGAACTAATCAAACTTGTAGCAGCCTTTGCGGCATCACTCTTTATTTTACATAATAATGTGTAAGTTTCAAATGGTAAACCAAAATTATGATCAGCCCCATGCTCTAAAAGCGATCGAATAACGCCTGGATTTCCTTTACAGCATGCTAAATGTAGTGGTGATAGGCCATACCATGTTTGATTAACGTTTGCTTTCTAAAAAATACACAAAAATTTTTATCAAAAACGCACATAATAAAAAACGTTTTACCTTCACCATTGACCGCACAACGTTATCCAGACCAATTCCAACAACTGTCATGAAATAACTTGGAAAAGCAAATGGTTCTGTATTGTTGTTTGATTTTTTTTGATTTATCATAGGTTGACTAATAGTAGTACTGACTGCTGGAGCATTTACATTTATTGGAAAACCTTTTTCTAATAGCACTAAACAAACACTTTCTAATCCATTAGCTACTGCATGTAAAAAACAATTGTTGGTTTCGTTGGGACGTTTCTTCTTTAACGAATTAGGAGTCAAATCTTCGAGAAGAGTACAAGCAGCACTTGTACGATTATCATGAATTGCCAGATTTAGTAAGTGAAAAGTAACTAAAAACAATTTAAAAAACTAAAAGTTAGCATTTTAAGAACAAAAAATGACTACCTGCCACTGATTTTTTTTTCTTTTTCGGTTTTAATAAGGCATTCAATTTACTTAAGGTGCTTTGTCCTTTTTCTTTTTTTCCACTATCTAACAAAAATTATTAAAAAAAAAAGAAAAAAGAGTCATTGTTAATAATTCAAATTCATCTAGAGAAGTCAAACCTTTACGGACTCGATTTGTTACTCCTACTTTACTTCTAATCATGTCTGTCGTATAAAGTTGATATAATATAAACCTCTGCCAGCGCGGTTTTGTATCGCGTTGCTTGAATTCTGCTAAAGATAAATAACCAGGGGATGGTAAGCTGCTAGCTGTAAATCCAAAATTTTGTTTAAAAGAACTGCTACTGAAACTTCCGCTGATACTTTTTGGACTATTTTCCGGACTTGAAACTCCTAAACTAGATCTAGCTGTAGATGGAGAAGAATCAAATTTAGAAGTCGAAGGGTTATAAAAACTTTGAGTTTTTGTTATAGACTTAAAAGCAAAGCTATTTCTGCCGGGTTCTATTTGAGTATTAGGTATATTTGAGTTATTTGATTTTGAATTTGAAATGGCATTTGCAGATTGAGCTGAAGCAACCAAAACACCAGGTATTTTTCCACCCGTTACAGCATTTGAAGTGTCAAGTCGAGAGGGAGGAGGACCACGTCTTGATATTTGAACTGTTGGAGAAGCCGGGGTTTGTAAGATAGTACTGCTATTTACAGGTGAAGGTGATGAAGTAGATCGGGATCTATTTTTATGAAGACTATTTGTCTCAGTACTTTCTAAATTATTTTCAGTTTTGACAGCAGTATTGTTCTCTATGTTTTTATTAATTTGAGTTGAATTTTCTATTTTTATTTCAGTTGACATTTCTTTATCTATGGAAGTTTTACTATTCTTTTCTTTTAAAGTAATGCTATTTTTTAATATTGGAATTATTTTCACGCTAGGATCTTGGTCAACTAAATAAAAAATTTGTTAGGAAAATTAATCTTAATACACACCACGGTGACTCATGAATATTTAGCAATCTATACAGCCAAATAGTAGATTTACTGTGTGGTGACAAAAAAAAAAAAAAAAAACCAAAAGCAAAAAAAAAAAAAAAAGTCTAGCAACTGTGAAAGTTTTTTTTTATTTTTGAAAACTATTTTGATTGGTCAAAAAAATAAATTAATGCTGATTAAAAATATAAAGAAATATTTGAAAAAATAAGTACCTTTTTTTTTTTTTTTCACTTTTGAACAACTTTATTTCGCAAAAAAAAATAAAATAAAATATTTAAATTGTATAATATTTTATTTTTTTTTTTTTTTGCAAAATATCAAAAATTTTTTCCAGAAGCTGTGGTGGTATTTAAAATATTTTAAAGTTTTCAACAATAGTTAATTATTAACTAAAACTTTTTTAAAGAAAATTTAATACTGCAACGTTAGCAGCAATGAAGCAGGATTCTAACTTAACTGTAGCTAAAATAATTTTTTGTACTTTAAACAAGTTACAAATTACCCAAAATAATGAACAACCAGATAACTATAACAAATGACCTAATCCGTCATGAAATCGTTTCATATATGTTGGATATTTGAATTCAGGTGAGTTACAGTTCCATTTTGAAGTTTGCAAGATAGATCTGTGTTTCAATGAAATTTAATTTTCCTTTAGCTGTTCAAAAAGGTGTTAGTATTCAAGTTGCAAGAATGCTAAATTCAGCAATAGGCATTGTGTATTCTTATTCAATTTTCGATTTTAGTACTAATTTTAATTTTTAGCTTTTTATGAATCCAATTCATTCTCTTTGTAGAGAGTATTACATTTTTTCCATTCAAATTTGCATTAGTTTAAAACATGTATAGCATATTTAACTCCTACATATATTTTTATATAATTACGAGTTTTGTCAACCGATGTAAACTTTAAAAAATTCCCTTTGAACCACTCACACTGGCTAAAATTAGTTATGTTGAATCGATCTAAAATTCCGGCCGGCATAGTATAGTGGTTAGTATAATTGATTGTGGCTCAATTGACACAGGTTCGATTCCTGTTGCCGGCATTTTTTTGGAACTGGAGGGAGCATCATGAGAAAACAGTATTTTATTTTTGATATTATTATAGAGTTGAAATTTTTCCATTATATTGAATTCATCCAACAAGCAAACAAAAAAATTTTTAAAATATCAGTTTAATCAACAAAGGAATTCTTTTAATAAAAAAAAAACCTTTATGTTAAACCATATGATTCCTGAATATTTATTGATTAATGGGTAACTTTTTAGGAAAAAATAAGAAACTCTATGTTATAAAAAATTTTTTTGTTTACTTTTTCTTCACTTCATTATGATGGAATGTTTTTTTTAAGTTTTGTATATAATAGTTAAATAAATTAATGTAGAAAAGATAGATTTTTAGGTAAAAAATATAATTATTATAAAAGTAATGGGATAGTTATTTCTATTAAACTGCAACAAAATTGTTCAAGATATAAATTTAACACCTGAACATTGTACCTTTGGGAAGTGATCTTGGGATTTTTTTAAAAAAGATCGTAAGATTTACAAAAAACTAAGCAGATGTCATTAAGGGATGACGAGGAAATTTAAATAATATTATGAATTATGAATAAACAATGATTAATTGGAACTAGAATTATTCTATAGTGCTCAAAATCGAAAACACTGGTGAAAAATTCAATTTATTAAATCAAAATCTTCAATTTTTAAATTAACATTTTCAGCTTTTAATTCAAAAAAACAATATCAAATGCTAGTCCAAGAAAAAGTTGTAGTCCATCTAAAAAAAAATCAAAAAATTCAATCGTCCAGATGACAATTGTGAAAAAGACTATGTTACAAAAAGTGCTTTATATGAGCTCATAAAAAAAACACATCCAGCATTAAACAGTTTAATTCCAAAAAGAGGTAGACAGAAAAGATAAAAAAAGAAGAGTCAAATATCTTTTATTAAAAAATATATTGACCAATTAACAATTTTATGGAAGGAAAAGATGAAGGGTCCCAAAAATAAATGAAAAAGAATTACAAGGTAAAACCATAGTGCTTTTCTTAAGGAAAGATTGATAGGCAAAGGAGGAACTTTGAAGAACTTGATTAACTTAATTAAAAGAACTGTTTGTTAAACGATTGAACTAAAATACAAAGAGTGGCTTTAGCTTTTTATTACATCCGTTCATACAATTATTAGGACATTTCTATAATTGTATTTGAACTAATATATTTTGTAAAAGAGTAAATGTTTGTAGTTAAATTATTTACAGAATTATCTACAGCATTATTAAAATAATATGAGAAATTTGAGCTGGAGTACGAGGAATTGATATATAAGTTAAATACCGCATCATTTTCAACTTCTACCGGAATTACGATTCATCTCATATATTGTATACTTGTTCATATTTACTTTTGTTTTCAAATTTTTATCTTGTAATCCGAATCCCAATCCTAATCCTATAACTGTTCCACATATAACCAAAGAGCTACATATTATAATAGTTTTCCTTATTTTTCTTTGTCTTTCAGATATTTTTCTTATCTATTTTTGGTTTGTCACTTTCCGTTCTTGAATGTTCATCGGTTGGAGCAACTTTTGACATTATAACATTAGGGTATTCTGAAATATTCTAATTACTACAATAATTCTTTTTACTTTTAAAATTTAATCAATTTATTTCCACAATTAATAGTTGAGTTTTGGTTCTTTTTACTGTTTATTACTTTCATATATACTCTTTTATTATATTAGGATGTACTTTTCCATTTTTCTTTTGAATCATCTGGATGTATATAACTATCATCTGTTTGTATTGAACTTGATATACTAGATAGTATACCACTCATTTTAGTTGATAAATGCTGCTGCCAAACAAAAAAATTAAAAAACAATGAAGATCTCAAATTAGTTCAGTTTAAAAAAAAAATAAAATTAACTGTTCATAACTGGTTTTGTTTTTTTTATCAATTTAAATAAATTATTGTAATTGGTATAGAAATATGGAATTAATTTAATAAGAAAAAAAAAATTATGAAATAAAAAAATACTGACTTAGTTTAAACTCTTTTCAAAAGTATTATTATTTGCAAAGATTTAACTTGATACTATTCTTACGCATTAAATTTCCTCCTTTGTTTTTTTTTTTTAATTTTGTCAATATTTTGAATATTGCCCATTCTTCAGCTCATCGTGACTACATGACTCTGCAACTTTCATCTTTACATTAAGGTTTTCCAAATCTGGATTAGAATCCAGCCTATATTCTCCTAATTGATGTAATCTTTAGTAGAAAATCTTATCTTAGTCTTTTGTATCTCTTAACTGCTTTGTAGTTAAAAAATAAATCAGAAAAATCGTCAATTTTGAAATGTGCACTGACCATTGCAACACTGCCAAGATATACAATAGGACTATCTTGGAAATAAAAGTAACTAATAATGAAGTAAGTTTTCAATGTTTGTAACGTAGTCAAAGAACAAACAAATTGAGTTTATGAGCTTCATGCCTCTATATGTTCAATTCCATTCTACAATAAAACAATTGACATTTATCAACTTCAACTCTTTACACAACAAAACCTGTACCTTAAAATCGCCTCATTTTTTGTCATTAATAAAAGCAACCTACAAGTTACCAAAAATTTATTAAAACATTCAATAAAACATTCAATACTAGTTTCTGGTACAAAATGCCGGCAACAGGAATCGAACCTGTGTCAATTGAGCCACAATCAATTATACTAACCACTATACTATGCCGGCCGAAATTTTTTTCTATTAAAGCAGATATATTGGCACTATTACTGTATTTAATAAATGATTGTCATTTATTTACAATTCAAATATTTTATTGGCCTTATTTAATATAATTTACTCCAATTCCATACTGACTGATCTGGTAAAAATAAATTGCGTTTTTAAGCAGGTACATTAAAGTTTAACATTTCTGTTATGAAAATGTTATTGAGTTTAAGATGTTTTGTGATATTATCAAAAATTTAATTTAAATTCAAAAAAAATTTTTTATTTGATAATACTTTAATTTTTAAATTTTAATAAAAAAAATAAAATAAAATAAAATATTAAAAATGAAAGTATAAAAAAAAAAAAAATTACATTCAGCAGTTTAATTTTTAATAGAAAGTTGGTTTTTTTTTTGAAAACAATAATGCTATGAAAAAAAACTAATGAAAAAATCAAATTAAAAATCAACACCAGTTTCGTAGTTTAGTAAATCTCCAAATTCTACCTTAAGATTTCAACTTAAACAGAAGCTTGTGTAACGAAGAAAGTTTCACTCAATATGAAATATTCTACTGACGGTAAAAAAAAACATTCAATCCATCCAATCCAATAAAGAAAAATTTTTTTCTCTATCAATCGAAACATATTTTTTTTAATTTAATCTAATTTTTTTTAATATTTTTTGTTTTTTTAATGTAAAACAGTATCATCAAGCAGAAGAAAATCTAGAAAAGCACACTTTTCTGCACCTTCAAGTGTTAGAAGACATTTGATGTCATCAAATTTATCTAAAGAATTAAGAGACAAATATCATGTAATTTTGTTTTTTTATAATTTCCTGAAGTTGGAACATTTTTAATTTCCTTTTTTTAGGCTCGCTCAATTCCAATTAGAAAAGATGATGTCGTAAAGATTGTTAGAGGTAAATACAAGGGTAGAGAAGGAAAAGTTACACAAGTGTATCGTAGAAGATGGTGCATTCACGTTGAAAAAATTCAAAAAGAGAAGGCCAATGGTAAAATAATATAAAAAATTTAATTTTTTTTCTTTTAATTATTTAAAGGTGCAACTGTTCTTATTCCAATTGATCCATCAAATGTTGTTGTTACTACTTTAAAACTTGATAAAGACAGAAAAGACTTATTAGACCGTAAAGACAGCACTAAACAATAAATAATATTTTATGATTAATTATAATTTTGTAATAAATAAAAAAAAAAAAGAAAAGAAGAAAGTAAATTTTTGACCTAATCGAAGTTATTTTTATTTTAATTTTTTTTTTGTTATATTTTTTTATAACAAAATACTATGTGAAGAAGAAGTATTATAAAAAATACAAAGAGATAATGAGATATGCGACTATAAATTATTACTATTATTATCTTTTTTTTTTTTTTTTTTTTTATATTTTGCCAATGAGAACATGCAATGAAAGTCAAAGTCTTCATCAATATCTTTAATATTTTTTTTTAATTTTTTGCAAGCAGATTTATCAATTGTTGCTTGATTTAAAATAGGTCTACGAAAGGAAGTAGAATTGCTGATATAGTAAGGAGTTTGCTGAATGTTTTCAGAAGATTCCAAGGATATCAAAAGATGCTTTTGGACATACAAAGTTTGAGTAGTATTGTTTAGTAGAGTGGTTGTCATTTTTTGGGTAATTTATTTTTTTTTTTGTTAAGTTTCAGATTTTTTTTTTTTAATTTAATGTAATAAAAAAATAAAAAAAAATTAGATGCTTTTATAGATGAAAGAGTAGAATACAAATTTGATTACAATTTAATAAAAGAATAATTTTACACTTTTTTTTTCGTTTTTTGAGGGCGAGTTTGAGGCTTTTACGTAAAAAACCAAAAATTCACCTTCCCGCACTTCTTCGCCAAATTCCACCAAATTCCACCAATTTCAACCAAAAAAAAGGTTACTCCAAAAATAACATGACCCCAAGGTTTCACACTAACAGATCTGCCATACCGTTACACATACAAAAAAAGAAAGTGAAAAAAAAAAAAATTACAAGAAAAATTACAAAAATAATGACAAAAAAAATTACAAAAAAAATTACCAAAAAAGAAAATAAAAAAAGAAAATGAAAAAAAATATAATTTTAATTAAATTTTAAGAATTATAGATGGTATTGTCCATAGGTCATTAGGGCGTGCCACTTAGAAAAGAAAGAGATGAACGTTAAATAAAATACAGATTCAACAAGGCAGCAACTGTAAGAGTTGATATTTCATGCATGATGAAACTGCAAAACACCTAAAAGTATTATTTTAACAATGAAAAATTTAAATTTGTG